CAGAGCAGCCGAGCGATTTTCAGAAACTGTTAGCAGCAGTACCGCCCGAACTACGGGAGCTGTTGAAACGATACCCCGGGATTTTTCCTGACAGCTTACTAGAAGGACTGCCACCTCAGCGGGCACATGACCACCGCATAGAATGAGAACTGGGGGCACAGCCAACTGTACAGCGAGAATTCCGACTGACATAGCCACAGCTCGACGAACTGAGGAAGCAGTTAGATTACCTATAAGAGAAAAAAATCATCCGACCGAGTTCGTCACCGTTTGCCGCACCGATACTGTTCACACCGAAAAAAGACGGGGGTTTTTGCATGTGTATCAACTACAGAGCATTGAACAGGGTAACACTCAAGTCGCGGTACCCCATTCCCTGCGCCGATGAACTGGTCGACCAACTGCGAACAGCACGAGTTTTTTCGAAAATATATTTAAGGGGAGGTTACCATCAGATTAGGGTCGAACCATCGGACTGCACCAAAACAGCTTTCAGGACAAGGTACGGGTCGTTCGAGTACACTGTGATGCCATTCGAGCTGACCAACGCACCAGCGACTTTTCAGATGACCATGAACGAGGCATTTAGGCCGCTTTTAGATAAATGCGTGATAGTTTACCTCGACGACATCCTTGTCTACAGTCGCGACAAGCAGCAGCGCTTAGTAGATCTGGAAGCAGTATTTAAGATTTTAGATGAGCATCGGCTATTGACAAAGGGTTCCAAGTGCGAGTTCTTTCAGGACAGGTTAGAGTTTTTGGAGCACGTTATTTCGGAGGCTGGGGTCAAAATCGACCCAAAGAAGTTAGACACGGTAAAAGCCTGGCACCCCTCGACGAATATTACGGAACCGCAGAGTTTCTTAGGGTTCGTAAAATACGTGCGTCGGTTCGTCCCCGACATGGCACGGTTGACGGCACCACTGACAGACTTATTACGGAAGGGGGTTGCTTTTACGTGGGGGGAGAAAGAGCATGCTGCCTTCTCTGCCCTGGAAACTAATCTCTGTTCACCGCCCATCCTGCGCATTGCTGACCCACACCGCCCATTCAAAGTAGTTACTGACGCCAGCAACATCGCAATCGGAGCCGTGCTGCTACAGGACTTCGGCAACGGCCTAAAGCCCATCGCATACAAGTCACGAAAACTGCATCCGCTCGAAAAAAATTACTTGATACACAACCATGAAATGCTTGCAATCGTGCACGCGTTCAAAGTGTGGCCCTGTTACTTGACCGGCGCAGACGTGACAGTACGGACAGACCATAAATCACTACACTACCTCCGCGCACAGCCACACCTCAACCCACGACAGACTCGTTGGCTCGACATCCTCGAGTCAAATTTTCACTACACGGTCACCTACAAAAAGGGAGCCTCGAACATCGTCGACGCACTGTCCCGCCCCACTGCCCAAATCCACGCAATACTACTCGCCCAGACAAGCCCACTACTGACAGGCCTATTCACCCACAGGTACCAAACGGACCCATTCTTCACAGGAGGAAATTCGCAGCAGTTCGCAGCAACAAAGGGAGTCTATTACGTAAAATTTGGGACTGACCGCATTTGGGTGCCTAAGTATACACTGCTACGAGAATTATTGTTTTTGGAGGCACATGACGGAGTTACCTCGGGGCATTTCGGAGTAGAAAAAACACGGCACCAGCTACAGCGGTATTATTACTGGCCCGAAATGTTGACCGACGTACAACGATACGTGGCATCATGTCCCACTTGTCAGCTTATGAAATTATCAAGGCAGCGGCCGGCACGACAGTTGCAGCCAAAACCACCTCCAGGGCGTGCTTGGCAGCAGGTGACGATGGACTTCTTCACGGGGTTACCGGCCGGGGCGAGTGGGAACGACGCGATCCTAGTGTGATAGAATGGGGAATGAATGAACTAGCACAAGGTTGGATACAAGAAGAAAACCTTGGTAAAGATATCAGCAGTGTTGGCCTCAGAGGCCACGTAAGCAAGGCGCAGCTGACCACGCTGCTGTAGCTCACGAGCAAGGATGTAGCGGAGAGCAATGTGCTTCGTTCTGTGCTCCAGTCTATGCTCCCGACACAAGGCCAGCATGGCCTTGTTGTCTACGTACAGAACTGGAGGAGAACGAGGCGGCTCTCCTAGATCAATCAGCAGGTAGGTGAGCCAGCGTAGCTCCTGTGCAGCCATGGCCCCCGCGTAGATCTTAGCCTCACAGCTAGAGCCGAGAACAGAAGACGAGCGGGTAGACCGCCACAAAACAGAGCCGTAGCCAAGGCTGAAGGTGTAACCCTGTGATGACTGCTGCGTAGCCTGGTCGTCAGCCCAAAAAGCGTTTGCGTGACCTGTGAGGACCACTCGACGTTGCCCTCCAAGCACTAGCCCCATGCCCGATGTACTACACAAGTAGCACAACACCCTCTTCGCTGCAGCCCTGTGCTATGGTCGGTGTCTCCTAGGAGCAACATATCGTGCCAAGATGCTAAGAGGGTATGCAAGGTCAGGTCGTGTGCAGGTCATTAGGTACATGAGGCAGTCAGCAAGCTCTGCGTACGGGCCACTCGGCTCTACGGACTCATCCGAGGGCAGAGCTGAGAGCGAGTGGCGAGTAGACAGAGGAGTGGCCTGAGGCGAGGAGTACGTGAAGTCGAAGCGCTGAAGGACCTGCTGCACCATGTGTGACTGAGTCAGGGTAATGGTGCGCTGTGCTCTGTCCCGGGTGATCTGCAAGCCAAGGTAGCTGCGCAGTTCACCCAGGTCTGTGCACGTGTGTCTCTTCTGCAGCTCGGACTTCACGTGGGCGAGTCCAGCAGTGTCAGCAGTGGCAAAGACCAAGTCGTCGATGTACACGAGGATGTAGAACGGCAGCAAAGAGGTGTCGGTGCTCAAAAACAGCGACGGGTCGGCTGTAGAAGGAGCAAACCCAAGAGCCGCAAGTGTAATCCTCAGTGTGTCGTGTCACTCACGGGGCGCCTGGTGAAGACTGTAGACTGGCAGCCGGAGGCTCCACTGGGTACCAGGAGGAAACGACCCACTGAAGCCAGGTGGGCGGCACAACCAGATCTCCTCGTGCAGGCTGCCCTGCATGAAAGCTGTGCTGAAGTCAAGAGAGTGCAGCTCGTAGTCGCGCTGAGCGGCTATGTCCAGCAGCACCCGAAGAGTGGTCATCTTCGAGGTGGGAGAGAAGGTCTATAAGTAGTCAACTCCGTGCCGCTGACTGAAGCCTCGAGCCACGTAACGCGCCTTGAAGACAGGCGGAGAACCCGGCAGCCGCTTCACCCTGAAAATCCACATGCCACTAACGATGTTCGCCCCAGGTGGGGGAACCTCGTCGACGTAGGTGTCTGTAGACTTCCAGGAAGCCATCTCTGCGTCCATGGCTGACTGCCACTGATAGGAGTAGGGACCCTCGATCGCCTCAGCGTACGATCGAGGAGTCGGGATGTCTAGTGCATCCGGGTCTCCCTTAGGGGCAATTAGCGTAGACACGAGATGGGGCAAATCAGCAGCAAAGCACTGGAACTCCTCCAGCATGTCCTCAAGGACGTCCGTACTATGACCACACTCACCCCCAACGGACGGAGGACAGACAGACTCAGACTCAGCAACAAGACTAGCAGCGTAGTCTAGACGACAGCGAGCAGCAAAGTCGACAAGCTCAGCAATTAGGGCCGACGCTGCAGTGGACTTAAAGGAAGGGTCAGTGACAACAGTGGCCAGGAGACGCGTAATAGTAGGACTGGTAGCACGAAGAGAGTCAGACTCCGGGTCAGCAAGAACAGGAAGAGAGGACTCTGGAGGAGATGACAACGGGACACGCAGAGGAGCAGTGGAAGGACGCAGTGCCATCTGGTGGGTGCCTTGGACTGCAGGAGAACGTGGACGCGGAGCACGACTTTTAGTGCGAGCAGCACGAACAGGCGACGCAGGACGAGACGCAGGCTTACGACGCTCAGCAAGACCTCCAGTAGGACAAGTGTAGGGAGAAGGAACAGGTAGAGGGAAGGCGAGCTGCAACTGTAACTGCGACCGGAGAGGCTGTGGACACTCTAAGGGAGGAGAAGGACCAGTAGAGGCCGGGAGACCAAGAACCTGCTCAAGGAGCGGAACTAAGTACGGCTGCGGCCGCGCAGTGCATCCAGAACCAGCAGGGACAGCACCAGTACTCCCAGCGGCAGCACCAGCGCCAGTAGCACCTCAAGCTCCAACAGCGCCAACTCTAGCACCCTCAGAAGCACCAGCGCCAGCAGAACCACCAGCGCGAACACCCCCAGCAGCTCCAGCTCCAGCAGCTCCAACTCCAGCAGGACCGACAGCTCCAGTACTGCCACCAGCTGCAGCAGGACCAACTCCAGCAGCCCCAGCAGCACCCCCAGTCTCAGCAGCTCCAGTACCGCCAGTACGAGCACCTCGGAGACCAGCAGCAACAGTAAGTGTCGGCCTGTCCGAGCACACGTGGAGTGGGTCACCCGTTGACTCGCAGGAGTGAACTGGTCAACCTCCCTGTCCTGTAGATCAGCTCCATTCACCAAGTTCGTAAAGAACGAGGGGAGGTAGAGACCTGACAAGGTGGAAGAGGGGGCTGCCGGGCATGGTAAGATAGTGGAGAAGCGAGCAAGGACAGGACCTCCAGAGGGTCCGCCAGGGAGACGGCAACCGGCCGACTAAGCGGCGTAAGCGTGGTGCGGTCTCGAAAGAAGGAGCGGGAAGCACCCAAGTCAAGGGTGAAGGTGTGTAAGGCCTAAGAGAGTAGACGCACCAGTACCTGGGGCAGCAGACGCACTAGCACCTAGAGCAGCAGCCTCACCAGCACCTAGAGCAGCAGCCTTAATGCCCGGGTGAGGCGGAACACACAGGTAACAGTCACCCTCAACACTATCACACACAACATACATGGCAGCAAGAATAGCATCATAATCAAGATCAAAGATAGCAACCCCCGCCCTAGACAGCTCTCTCCAGCGAGGGATCTCAGTGGCGTCAAGGATTTGGTGACGCCACGCGTCCGTCAGGCGGCCGAAGCAGCGCTGGGTGGAGTGCGGGCCCCCGCACTGCTCACCAGCGCGGTTGCCGGTGTGGAGGACGTAGGTACAGGGACCAGTACCCCCACCGCGCTGACGCGCAGCGTACAACTCACGAAGCTGCTAAAGGGACAGGGTCTCACGACTGCGCTGCTGCTGCTGGCGCGGACCGCCACCGGACCCACTCCTCTGCGCAGAGCTGCGACCAGCTCAAGTGCTGTTGCCGCCGCCTCCGCCACCTCTGCCACCTCTGCCGCCTCCGCCACCTCCGCCGCCTGCGCTCCCTCCGCCACCGCCGCCGCCTCCTCCGCCTCCACTGCTGCCACCGACACCTCCACCCCCGCCACCACTCCCACCACCAACCCCACCCCCTCCACTTCCTCCACCACCACCTCCATCGCCCCCGCCAGCCCCTCCAGCGCCCTTGCCCCCCTTGCCCTTGCCGGTGCGGCGTCTCCCGCTAGGGGCAGACGCAGCGCCGACCCCGCAGCGCCGACCCCCAACGAGGTTGGCAGCAGCAGCAGAAGCAACAGAGGGCAAGAGGGGGGAGGGGGAACACCCCTCAAAGACTGGGGTGTGAGGGTCACCTCGAGAGGCTCCTACAGCAACTATGCTCTTCTCTGCTGCTAGGAGGCATTCTTGGAGGAGGTCAACGGTGAGTATGGTGGGGCAAACTGAGAGGAAGTGGTCCCTGACTAGGCGAAGGGAGTTAGGGAGCCGGGTGACTATGTAGTAGAGGGTGATGTACATGGGGGGGGGGGGGGGGGGGGTTCTTGGCGCAGAACTCAGCAGGAAGCGCAGCGCGGTAGCGAGTGTCACTAGTGCGGAGGTGCGTAATGAGGTCAGCGACTATGGGAAAGGCAGCAAGGTCAGGGAAGAGGTACGGTAGCATGAGGCGGCTCAGTGCAGCAGTGGCAGGGGAAGAGTATCGTGCAGCTACAGCGTCGTACAAGGTTTGAGCACTCTTGTACTTGCTAAAGTGCGCACGCTCAGTGGACGGTAAGTGGCGACGCACAGCAAGACGGGCAGCAGCATCGCGTGTGGCCCACTGTGAGCGAACAGTGCTGTCAGCAGTAGCAGGCGGGGCAGGGGAGGCACCAGAGGTGAGATCGAACAGGGAGAGTCCGTCTGCCCTATCGCACTGTAGGAACAGCTAGAGGTCATCGACCCAGACCTCAAAGTCAACAGCACGACCCTCAGTATCAAAGGTAAGAACACTGGGGTTAGCCATGACTACAGTGGCCTAAAAGGGAGTGATCTCACCAATCCGAGTAAGTAGGGCCGGGGCGCGCCGATAGGAACAGTAGTGGCTCGACGGCAGGGCGGCTCGGCGGCTCGGTTGCTGGGCAGCTCGGCGGCTCGGCGGCTCGGCTGCTGGGCGGCTCGGCTGTCTGGCGGCTCGGCTGTCGGGCGGCTCGGCTGTTGGGCGGCTTGGCGGCTCGGCTGCTGGGCGGCTCGGCGGCTCGGCTGTTGGGCGGCTCGGCGGCTCGGCTGCTGGGCGGCTCGGCGGGTCGTTTGTTGGGCGGCTCGGCTGCTCGGCCGCTCGGCTGCTGGGCGGCTCGGCCGTCGGGCGGCTTGGCGGCACAAGGCCGCTTAGGGCGGCGATGGGGCCGTTAGGGGCGGCGACGGGGCCGCGTAGGGGAGGCGACAGGGCCGCGTAGGGGCGGCGACAGGGCCGCGTAGGTAGGGAGGCGGCGAGAGGGCCGCTAGGGGCGGCGACGGGGCCGCTTAGGGGCGGCGATGGGGCCGCGTAGGTAGGGAGGAGGCGACGGGGCCGCTAGGGGCGGCGACGGGGCCGCGTAGGGGCAGCGACGGGGCCGTGTAGGGGCGGCGACGAGGCCGCGTAGGTAGGGAGGCGGCGGCGGGGCCGCTAGGGGCGGCGACGGGGCCGCGTAGGGGCGGCGACGGGGCCGCGTAGGGGCGGCGACGGGGCCGCTTAGGGCCGGCAACGGGGCCGCGTAGGGGCGGTGACGGGGCCGCTTAGGGGCGGCGTCGGGGCCGCGTAGGTGGAGAGGCGGCGACGGGGCCGCTAGGGGCGGCGACGGGGCCGCTAGGGGCGGCGACGGGGCCGCATAGGGGGCGGTGTCGGGGCCGCTAGGGGCGGCTACGGGGCCGCGTAGAGGCGGCGACGGGGCCGCTTAGGGGCGTCAACGGGACCGCGTAGGTGGAGAGGCGGCGACGGGGCCGCTAGGGGCGGTGACGGGGCCGCTAGGGGCGGCGACGGGGCCGCGTAGGGGGCGGCGACGGGGCCGCTAGGGGCGGCTACGGGGCCGCGTAGGGGCGGCGACGGGGCCGCCAGGGGCTGCGAGGGGCGGCACGGGGGGCTGTGGGAGGGGCCTCTAAGGGACCTCGACGGAAGGGCGGCCCACAGGGCGCGCCTCGGGCAGCAGCGACAGGCGATCCGGTCAGAAATAAAATTCAGTGGTGGGCCCAAGGAAGCGTTCCCACTAGGGAACCTGCTCTATACCATGTGAAAGAATGAGGAATGAATAAACTAGCACAAGGTTGGGTACAAGTAGGAAACCCTAGGAAATTGTACCCCATACTGTCTACCCCACTATAGCCTAGACAAGCTATGTGATATAAGTTTGACACCTGGTCGTCGTCAATCGACTGACGAAAATGGCATATTTCGTAGCACGACTCTTCATCTTCACTGTCGTTTGACTGCACGGGATACCAGCAGCAATAATCAGCGACCGCGACACGAAATTCACCAGCAACTTCTGGCGGAACCTGTAGCAGCAGTTCGGCACGCGACTGCAGTTTAGTTCATCATACCACCCCGAAACCGACGGACAGACAGAACGGACAAATCAGACCATGGAACAGCTCATCAGGGCCACGTGCGATGACCCGATCACGTGGGAACAGCAATTGCCACTCATCGAATTCGCGTACAACAACTCGCCATCCGCCACGACCCAACAGTCACCATTTTACCTAAACCGCAGACAAGACCCGACAGTATTGTTAGAGACTAAGGACGGAGTCTATGAAGATGAGGTCCCTAAATTTCTCAAAATCGCTGGTCCCTATTTCTGGACAGAATAGTTGCGCTCACAAGAAACGCTGTCGACGAAACGTGCATCATCAAAACTTCAGTAAACTCATATATGTTGTAGCCCTACTCCGTGGCTACAATTACCAAGTTGAAACGTATCAAGAGGTGAAGTAAATCTCGACTTATCAATTTCGGCGCACAGGGGGGTATGCTGCCATAAGAACTTTACTCAATCACAAAGTTCACACAAGTTCACACAAGAGAATTGGAGTAGCACTAAACCAGGTGGAAGGGATGAGGAGGACGAGAGGGAAGGTCTCAAGAGAGTCCCCAACCAAGGAAACCCCATGCCATACAATTCCCTTCCCCATAGGCAACCCAACTTTGACCTTTGTCACTATCCCAACCTCCACAATCCACCTCAACCAAACTTGGCCACACTTGCCAATCTGGTTTGGTTTCTCCCAACCATTTGACAGCAACTACAGTAGAAAAGACGAATTTCCCAACCCCGAAAAGGCTGTACCCCATATTGAGTCAACCCCACAACTTCCCATAGTCACCACAACCAAATATAAAAAGTATACGAACTCTAACGTTCGTAACTTTCTTGTTCGTGCTCCGATTGAAGCGATAATTGGTTCCTCGGAAAGCTCTTGAGCAGAGGAGTCACTTCAGATATCTGCTCAAGCCTAATAACATTCACACGCACACTCAGAAAAACCAAACCGCACAAAACACAAATTCTTGCACACACTCACAACACGCATGCAACGCACGAACATATGATGGGAGGCAGACAGACGTGAATGCGAATGGTAGCATCACTCAAAATGTACCCATGACCCCGAATCCCGACAACCCAGTGCCACGAGCACAACAGTTCGTCGAAATATTACAAGCAGCACGGACCCCGGCAGCACATGCAATAAAAAAATCCAACATCATCGCTAAACGTAACGCCGACCGCCACCCAGACCTGTCACTTACCAACCCGACGACCTGGTTTTACTTGACACCCAGAACTTCCGCCTGCCCATCACCCCAAAACTACGCCCCTGATACTGTGGACCATTTTGCATCAGCCACATGATCACACCCATCACCGCCCACCTCCTCCTCCCTGCTAACTAGTACGTCAGCCCCTCATTCCACGTCACCCTGCTTCGCCCTTACGTCTCGTCCACGAGCCAACTGCCACGCACCCGCCCACCCAGCATGACACGTCCGCCAACTGAACCAATCATCACCCCCGAAAAAATCCCGAACCACCGAGCTCGTGACCCTCGAGGAGCCCAAAGGATCGAGTTCCTGATACGCTGGAAAGATCGTACACCCACCGAAGACAACTGGGTTCCCTTGGACAGAATCGAAAACCACCCCGTCCTCACCGAGTATCTGCGCAGCCAAAACTTCAGGGATGTGTGAAATGAAACGAGAAGGAAATGAACTATGAATGAGTTGGGTACAAGTACTAACCCTAATTGAGTTGTACCCCTTATGGGATACCCCACTACAGCCTACACATAACGTATGCGCTACAACATTCTGACCCACCCCCATAGGCAAATTGGGGAGAACAAGGGGTCACAAGACCAGTCAAGCAAAACAAAGCAAAGCAAAGCAAGCTCAGGGTGGATCTCAAAGTCACCACACATTCCGAGCACAAGTTCAAGGCCACAAGGCCAGTTCACATGCAGGAGTACACATATATATATATAAAGCTAGACAAGCAAGAGCAGGTATATATATACGTAACAGTACAAGCAAGGTCAAGAGGTGAGCAAGTGAGGCAAGACAGGCACAAGACCCAGCTGAGTGCAGAAGCGCTGATGATCACAAGGCGCAAGTGCCTTGGTGAAGACATCAACAGTGTTGGAATCAGAGGCCACGTACGCAAGCCGCAACTGTCCACGCTGCTGTAGCTCACGAGAAAGGAAGTAGCGTAGAGCAATGTGCTTCGTTCTGTACTCCAGTCTCTTCTCTCGACACAAGGCCAGCATGGCCTTGTTCTCTACGTACAGAACTGCAGGAGAACGAGGCGGCTCTCCGAGGTCGGTCAGCAGGTAGGTGAGCCAGCGAAGCTCCTGTGCAGCCATGGCTCCTACGTAGATCTCGGCCTCACAACAGGAGCCGAGAACAGAAGACGAGCGAGTAGCCCGCCACGACACAGAGCCGGAACCAAGGCTGAAGGTGTAACCCTGTGACGACCGCTGCGTAGCCTGGTCGTCAGCCCAAGAAGCCTCTGCATGCCCAGTGAGGACCACTGGAATCCGCCCTCCAAGCACTAGCCCCATGCCTGACGTACTACACAAGTAGCGCAACACCCTCTTCGCTGCAGCCATGTGCTCTGGTCGGTGTCTCCCAGGAGCAACATAGCGTGCGAGAATGCTAAGAGGGTATGCAAGGTCAGGTCGTGTGCAGGTCATCAGGTACATGAGGCAGCCAACAAGCTCTGGATACGGGCCACTCGACTCTACGGACTCATCCGAAGGCAGAGCTGAGAGTGAGTGGCGAGTAGGTAGAGGAGTGGCCTGAGGCGAGGAGTACGTGAAGCCGAAGCGCTGAAGGACCTGCTGCACCATGTGTGACAGAGTTAGGGTAATGGTGCGGCGTGCTTTGTCCCGGGTGATCTGCAAGCCAAGGTAGCTACGCAGTTCACCCAGGTCTGTGCACGTGTGTCTCTTCAGCAGCTCGGACTTCACGTAGGCGAGTCCAGCAGTGTCAGCTGCGGCAAAGACCAAGTCGTCGACGTACACGAGGATGTAGAACGGCGGCAGAGAGGTGTCGGTGCGCAGAAACAGCGACGGGTCGGCAGTAGAAGGAGCAAACCCAAGAGCCGCAAGCGTAGTCCTCAGTGTGTCGTGCCATTCACAGGGCGCCTGGCGGAGACCGTAGACTGGACGGCAGAGACTCCACTGGGTACCAGGAGGGAACGACCCAGTGAAGCCAGGTGGGCGGCGCAGCTAGATCTCCTTGTGCAGGCTGCCCTGCAAGAAAGTTGTGCTGAAGTCAAGAAAGTGCAGCTCGTAGTCACGTTGAGCGGCTATGTGTAGCAGTACCTGAAGAGTGGTCATCTTCGAGGTGGGAGAGAAGGTCTGAAAGTAGTCAACTCCCTACCGCTGACTGAAGCCACGAGCCACGTACCGCGCCTTGAAGACAGGCGGAGAACCCGGCGGCCGCTTCACCCTAAAGATCCACATGCCACTCACGATGTTCGCCCCAGG